TTTATCAGGTTATGGAAGCCGTAGGATAGCAATATGTAGGACTGGGTTTCCGAACTTAAGGCTCTCTTATTTGGGTGATATAATCAGGACAAGAGTAGACGGGGTCTACTATGTTGGGGCGCCGTGAATACATGAATATGTGGACTTTCTCAAAGAAACGCCCGCACAACTCCCAAAGGGACCTTTCATGTAAATGTAATGCTGAGGCCCTTGGGCGCCCCTCAACCTGAAACCCTAAACTCCTCTGACACCCGCCTTGAGTCCAGCAGGAGGCACATTGTCAAGCCACCTAGCCTACCAGTTAGATCTGCAGATGGAAGCCCGACCAGCATAAACTACATGTTGTAATGCCGTACTGGGAAGTATTTAAGAATCAAGGGTTGTGGAAGTGTTATAGTGGGGCAGGGCTACGGGGGATGAGCACAGCTCACGCCATAATCATGTCGGATTTTGGTGGAGAAGCTGCATTTTGAGTGCGTAACCATACTACCCCACGGAGCACTAAACCCTACAACCCTTAACCCTGAATCCTTGAACATTTCCTGCTTGTGGGTCTCTCCCTACTACCCAGACCCTCCTATGTAGTTCCTTCTTAGGTAATATATTATAAACCCTTACCAAAAACTATAACAAACCCCAACAGGAACTACATAGGAGACCTTGGGTAAGCCCCGAAGCCCCAAACCCTAAACCGAGTGAAGATACTGGCAAGGCTCTGCCGCCGGCCAAAGATGCTATAGGACTGGCCCTTGGTTCGTCACTACGTGAGGATTAACCTAAACTCCTTAAAAGGGGGTTACATGGAGCATTCAATAGGGACTTTTCCAGGGCTTATTAAGGGGAGAGACTAGAAGTTCAGACAATGGCTCACGAGAGGATTATGCTGCGGCGTTTGTATAGTACAGTGGGGGTGTGGCCATTTGTACAGATGTAGGGTTTCAGATCATAAGAATGGAGAATCGACAGGACCGACAGTAGCATAGTGGAAGTTGGGGTAATCTGCAGGTTACCTGGGGTTGCAAGATAACCCCAGTATTAGTGGTAAGTAAGCATAGACCCGCAATTGCATCACCTGTTCCATTTCTTGGAAAACGATAAAGAGGAAGAACAAACGATATTGTTGAAGACAGCACATCTCAGTCTTTCCCCGTCTAGGCTTCAAGCCGCAGAGCCTAGACAGCAACGTCTAGACCGCGACGTCCCCTGATCTAGGGCCAGAATTTGTGAAGCACGTGGTGACCAAAACGCGAATAAAACGATAGTCAGAACGATACTGTCGGTTTCCCGGAAGTCGGCTTTGCTAGTCGTGGTACTTCCCAAAGTTTCCACTGCCGTCGCACATGAAGTACTGAAGAGCCCATCGCATCAAGGTAAGGTTGATCCCCGCACTGAAACGGAAGATCACCGGGCGCTAAGCCCCAAACTCCGATACCTGTCGGCTCCTAGGTGCAAGCACAGTGAGATTTCAAGTGGTAACGTATACTAGCATGAAGTAGTAATGCCCAAAAACTGTAAAACGGTAAAAACGAAAATAGAACCATAGTGTTGTACAGGGATCTGAGATCTACCTAGGGGTTATTTTGCAACCCTAGCTTGCGTTTGGAACAAACTTAAGTGTTTTTGGAAATCATTTCAGTTCTCTAGATAAGTACCCATCTGCAGGACGCATTGGCCGCCTCATCTCTTCAATGCTATCATACACTCAAATCTCGAATACGGCAGCTGGGCGTCCTCATGTGTTCTGCTACAAGCGGCTGCCACCAAAGTGTAGATGCAGGAAACCTTGCACCTCTCCGAAACTCCTTAAAGGGTTTTTTTAGGTGATTATATAGTGGAGTATTATACGGGGTTGTTAAGGGGGATACTAGGAGATTAGACTAAGGAAGTACAGAAGTTGGGGCGGGGGGGGAGGCCTCACGTGATGCAAGAGTTCCTCCATCCACTACAATGGACCATTTAACTCAGCAATCTGAAGCCTTCCTTGAACCGAGCTTTGAGCCAGTGCGGTAAGAGAATTCCATAAAGACCTTGAAGCCGTCCCGAACCCCCAAACTCCCAACAGAAGCAGTTGCAATGCACACAGTTGAACCAAAGCGACAAATCCAATCCCCCAAATACTTTGCAAATGCTGCTTGAAAGAGAGGCGTGCCATTGCGGGCGCACTCCACCTCTCTTGAAGGACGGCAAGGATGACAATTCGGGAGTTGCCGAAAATTAGGGATCACTTTGTGGAACTCCCTGAAGTAAAGGTCACAGTGCGTTGGGGTCGATAGCGGATCCACCTATTTCGGGAAACTACCATCTAGGGTAGCGTTAATGCGCTAACTTCCAGACATAACCAAGGGGCTAGGTGGAGAAAGCTCCATTAGCAAGGGGTTGTAGTCACCCAACCTCGATAATTAGGACCTGATTGTAGCTATACGAGCCATAGTCTAATCTCCCAGTATCCCCCTTCATAACCCTTATAACACTCCCCTATAAAACTCCCTTTAAGGAATTCAGATCCTAAACCCCAAACCGCTTTAAGGAGCCTAGACTACAGCTCATATAGGGTCT